TTTTTTTTTTTTTTTAGTTGGAAATGGACACAATACCTTTACTTTGTTTATTTAGTTTATTTATGTGGTGCCAAGGATCGAACCAGTGCCTCACACATGTTGAGCAAATGCTCTACCACTGAGCCCAAACCCTAGCCCACTATTTTGTATTTTATTGAGACAGGGTCTCACTGAATTGCTTTAGTGCCTCGCTAAACTGCTGAGGCTGGCTTTGAACTTGCTATCCTCCTGCCTCCGCCTCCCAAGCCACTGGGATTACAGGTGTGCTGCACCGTTCTCAGCCCCAATTAGAATTTAATAGCATCTAGGTACTATACCTAGATACACAGTAAGTACTCAATAAATGCTCCATTTAATTATTATCCTGATTATTACTGTCTGCCCAACTCTCACAGGTACTGGAATTGGTGATCTCAGAATAGCAATATCTACTTATTATGCATCTACTGCATACCGGCCCTGTGCTAAGAGCTAATGGATCTGCTCTGCTCACTCCACTCCAGCCATACTCGCCTACTCAACGCCAGGCACAGTCCTGCCTCGTGGCCTCTGCATCTGCTGTTTCTCCTGCCTGGACTGCTGTTTCCCCGGTTCCCAGAGATTGTTCCCTCACCACCTTCAGTCTCCCCCTAAAACTCAGCTGCAAGAGGGCAAAGCTTTTGTTTTGTTTACTGATGTGTCTTTACATCCAAAATAGGGCTGTGTACCCCGGGTACTCAAGAAACAGGAACAGACCCATCCAAAGGCTGGCCTTGTGGCTTGGCAGCCGTAGGCATGGGGCAGGACTGGTGCCCTCACCTGGCTGGCCCCAAGCCTCGCTTAGCCCCTCCCCTCACTGAGGTCACGAATCTCTCACCTTGTGGACGCGAGTAATGACCTCCATGCCCACAGAGCCCACCAGGGCAGTGATGTCATCCAGGAAGCGCCCAGGGAAGCGCAGCTTGCGGGGCGTGTCCAGCCGCTGGCCCAGAAGCAGGTGCAGAGCCATGCTCTTCACCTGGGGGCGGGGCGAACAGGCGAGGGGCGGGGTTTTAGCGGAAGGACCGTGGGAGTGGGGGTGGGGCTGAGCCCTGTAGCCAAGGCCGAGGGAGGAGCCTGAGGGCTCTGGGTGGACTTTGTGGCGTGGGCGGGGCTTGAGGAGCCAAGGGCAGAGCCTCCCAGGGTCCTCAGCCCTGGGTTCAGGAGTGGGAAGCCTGGGGTGGGGGAAAGGCTTGGGCAGTCTGGGGGGGCCAGAGATTGGGACCCGTGTTCCGAGTTTGAGGGAGCCCTGGGTTAGGTTTTGTGGGCGCATTAGGGGTCTGGTGATGTGGCCACATCCCCTCAGGAGGGGACCTCTTAAATTTCTGGAGGTGGTCTCAAGCCTGATCCTTCTCTGTGTGGGGACACCTCTTCGAGGAGGGAGGTCCCCTCTCTGAGTGGAAGTGGCTCATGAGAGTGACCTGTCTCCCAGTCTCCCAGGGAAGCGGGGTCCTCTCTCTGTGAGCATCTCTGGAGGCCACTTCTCAGGGGGTCTAAGGTGTAACCTCAGGGATTTTTTAAGGGTCTTGCCTGGGGGTCTCTTTCCTTGGGCCGAGAGCAGGGGTCTCACCATGAGCTGGAAGAAGAACCAGGCGTGTTGCAGGACGGCCTCGCGCACAGCGCTGCTGCTCACCACCCACTGCAGGGCCAGCTCCTCGTGAAGCAGCTGCAGGCAGGGTGGGCGTCACCAAGAGCCAGGTGCCACCCCCTCCCACACCGCCCCTGGAGAGCATGGCAAGGGAGGTTGAGGCTCGAGGACTGGGGTCAACAGCAGAGGCCATGCGGAAGGACAGGGGCAAGAGCAGCTGAGGTGCCAGTTCCCAGGCTGGGCTCTGGATCGGGGAGCAGCTCTGGATCCCTTTGCTGGGGGCCGGGAACAAAAAACATGGAACCCACCCGTCCCCCCCACTACCTTCTGCACAGTGGGTCTCGGCTGGGGGGCTGGCAGGGCCGTGGAGGAGGCCTCGAGGTAGGAGGAGGCTCGGCTAGAGCTGCAGTCGATGGCCTAGGATGGGATGGGATGGAGAGGATGGATGGCGAGGAGAGCTGGCGTGGGGGGGGTGGCAGGGACATGGTGGGAGAGACAGAGGTCCACGTGGACTCATCTGAATGGAGAAAAAATGTGTCCTCATGGACATGGGTAGGAGGAAAAGAAGAGGAAAAAGCGCTTCCACGTGGATGTGCGCTGTGGTCTTAGTGTGTCCCTGAAGTGTCATGATTTGTGAACTTAAAACCCAAAGTCACACATTGATGGTGCTTGGGGATGGGGGCCTCGGGGAGGTGATTAGGACTGGATGAGGTCAGAGGGTCGGCCCTCCTGATGGCATCGGTGGCTTACAAGAAGAAACCTGAACAAGTACCTTTGTGTCTTGCTGTGACACAAAAGTTAGGATACAGTGATCACAAAAGTCCCCATCTGATGCCAGCACCATCCTCTGGGACTTCCCAGCCTCCAGATCTGGAGCCACATAAATTAGTCTCAGGTATTTTGTTACAGCAACAGAGAACGGGTTGAGACAGTGTGTGGGGGCCATGGGGGGCTGGTGAGGGCAGAGGGGAGGAGGCACGGTCTGTGTGCACTGGCCGGGGAGGGGTCAAGGTGGTGTGGGCTGGCCAGGGTGGTGGAGGCGAGGATCGAGAAGGAGTAGCTAGAGTCAAGTCGATGAAAAAAAAGTGACACGTAGTGAGGAGGTGACAAACCAGTGTGACCAGAACAGGTGAGAATGTGGAACCACCGACAGGGGAAGGTGGATAGACTGGGTCCCAGCTCGGACCGAGGTTGGCCAGTGCGAGTGGCAGACAGCACAGGGGGGAGGAGATGAAACCAGAGGGGCTGTGAAGGGGTTTGGAGCCACAGGAGGTGACCACGAGAGTGGACGAGGCGCAGAGTGTGAAGGAGTGGTGAGGTGGGCTGCATGGATGGAAGAGGCGGGTGCGACCAGAGGAGAAAGCAGATGAGCACAGGAGGCGAGATGCTATCGAGAGCCCCAGGTTCCAGGCCGGGCCCTGCTCCAGCCTCGTGTGGGGCCTCAGCTGGCCTCGGTGATTCCTGCCCGTGGAACAGGTACAGAGGCCCAAGCTCCACCCGCCCCTCTCCTGTGCCGGACAGGAGGGGAGCAGATCTCATGATGGAGACCTGCCCTGGCACTTGGGGGCCTCCAGTTCCATGGTCCAGCCACGTCCGGGCTCACCCACCACAAGGCCAGCCTCAGCGCTACTCCTGCCTGGAGGGCCCCCTTCCACAGCCTCATCACCCCCCACCTGCTCTGCGAGGCCTCCCTGATTCTTCAGGGAACTGAGAATGTTGACGACAGCCCTGTGAAAAGTGCTAGGGCAGGGGCAGCTGGGTGGCAGAGCACACGCTCTCAGCAGGCACAAGGCTCTGGGCTCAATCTTCAGCATCCCCCAAAAAATGCTGAGGGGGGACAGGCAAGGCCCACGAACCCAGACTTTGAGATTGCCAGTGATCTGGGAGAGGTCTGTGCAAAAGTCCCCTGCCTGTGCTGCTGACAGTTCCCCAGGTGTGGCACGGGAGGCAGGTGGCAGGCTCTGGGACCAGGCGAGCAGGGCAGCCTCCTTTTGCTGTCCGGTGTCATCTGAGCTGGGTACCATCTGTGTGTGCCTTTCCCTCTGCCTGGAACCCACACCCACTCGCCCTGGCTCATCTCACTCTTCAGGTCCAGCAAAAAACGTCCCTTTCCTGGAGAGGTCCCCCCAGTCCTCCAGGAGGAAAGCTGGTGCCCTGTTCTGTCTCCGTTCACCTCCTCTCAGGCTGTTCCTCCCCAGAGGTACACACCTGCATGTCTGTGTCTATCTCCCTGACTAACTGGGGACTTGGGGTGGGGCAGGGCGCGGAGCATTCCTCATAGTAGAACCAGCTCTGCCTCGGCCCAACTAGTGCCCAGGCTTGGGACTGTGCTGCTGTGCCCTTTTCTGAGCGCCTCTGCCATATCTGAACACCCAGGGAGACGGCCCCATTGAAAATGGGGACCAGAGAGATTCAGCCCATTGCCTGGAGCACCAGCTGGGGACATGGCACAGCTGGGACTTGAACCAAAGCATCTCCCAGGCCAGATGCATGGTAGAGGGGAGCCTTTGTCTGAAAGGGATGTGGGATTCCAGGGGTCCAGTGCTTCACCCTTGACACCATTCAGTTGCCTATGCCAAGGAGACAGCTGAGAGTCCCCCGGACAGAGGTGGATCAAAGGGAGGGAACAGGCCATGCAGGGCAGTGAGGTTATAGGTGGCTGGATTTGCATATAATTTACATGCTCTTTGCATATCACCCCAGTGCTGTGTCTCTGCTGAGGCTGTGGCCTATGTGACAGCAAAAGGTAGGTTGAAACAACCCAGCAATTCTTGCAGCACAGACTCCACAGCCCCAGACAAAGGCAGGAGGGGCTGCCACCTCCTTCAGGCAGCCCCCCTAGGTTAGTTGGTCACAGCCAGGAAGGTGGGAGGAGCTCATGCTGAGATGGAGTCACATGCATTCAGGGCAGGTAAGAAGGGCACCTGTCTGGGGTCGGCCCCACAATAAGGGGGCGCCCGCCGCAGCACAGCCTTGGTGCCTCCTGGAGCATAAGCAGAATTCACCCAGGAGTGTGAGCGATCGACGCCCTGGAGATACACGGGGGGGTGGTAGCGTCCCGAGAGGAGGGCGAGGAGAGCAGCACAAAACACCCGGAACTAGATGTGTGCCCACACAAGTGTGTGCACCCGTGCATGCAAGTGCGTGGAATGCATGCACATATGCAGCCACGCACATGAGCACGGGCATACACACATATGCGCCGTGTGTGTACGAGCAAGGTACAGATGCGTATGCAGTGTGTACGAGCATGGGGTGCATGTGTATATGCACCCGTGTACATTTGTGTCCGGGGCACATGCATGTATGCGCCTGCCACGCTGGGTACACACGACTCTTTGGTCAGGCCGTCCAAGCTTCCACCACCCATCCTCGGGTGGTGGCTAGAGCCAGCACAAAGTCTGACCTGCAGCCCCCCTCCATGACAGCCACACGCTGGCCGGCAGCCAGGACACGTGTCCTCTCCAAGTCGTGCTCTCTGTTTTCCATTCTCATCAGCAGTGGGATTCCTGCCCCCCGCCCCCGGCCCACTCGGAGGCCATGGCCACTTCGCCCTACCTTGCTGGCCAGGATGCGGGAAACCTCATCATCCACGGAGCCAGGGGCCACAGCCAGGTCGGGGTTGCTGCTGCTCACACTCTTAGAACGGGCCAGGTAGAGGCTTGCAGGGCGGCCGGAACCACGGGCCAGTGTGGCAGCCTGCACAGTCACCGGAGGGACCCCTGGGGATGGACGGAGTAGGGTCAGCCCTGGCCCACCTGCCTGATGAGTCTCAGCCCCCTCCCAATCCTCGGCCCTCGATACAGCCATTTTCCTTCTCTGCGCTTCCAGGTTGTAAAATGGGCATGAAAATAGCAACTGCTTCATAGCAATTTGCACAGATTGAAGAACACTGGAAATGGTGCCTGGCACATATGATTTAACTATTCAACAGCAAGAATTTGCCAGGCTTGGTGGTGCACACCTGAGGCAGGAGGATCATAGAGTTCAAAGCCAGCCTCAGTAAAAGCGAGGCACTAAACAATTCAGTGAGACCCTGTCTCTAAATAAAATACAAAATAGGGCTAGGGATGTGACTCAGTGGGCAAGTGCCCCTGCATTCAATCCCTGGAACCAAGAAAAAAAAAAATAATTCTAATTTTCTTTATGGTTCAGGGAATTGAAGCCCAGGCCTTGTGCATGCTAGCCATGTGCTCCACCGCTGAGCTACACCCCCAGCCCAAATCCAGTTTTTACTGGACGTTCACTCTGTACCAAGCATTCTGCATGGATTAGGTTAGTTATTCTTACCAGCATCTCCTCGAGGCTGGTACTGTTATTATCATTGTTGTTTTTTTTTAATACTTATTTTTTAGTTGTAGATGGACACAATACCTTTGTTTTATTTATTTTTATGTGCTGCTGAGGGCCTCACATGTGCAAGGTGAGCGCTCTACCATTGAGCCACAACCCCAGCCCTATTATCACTGTTTCACAAATGGGAAAACAGGCTCAGAGAGGTCAAATTCCTTGCCCAGGGTCACAGAGCTTGCAGGCAACAGAACAAGGATTTAAATGCAGGCACCCTAGCTTGAGTCCCTGCCACAACCTAATGAAGATGCTTGCTGAATGGTCGAATCAGCTGCCAGTCCAGTGTACAGGGGTCACACTCCTGTGGCTGGGGCAAAAGTGGGTGAAATGTTCTCTCTTGCAAGTTGCCAGCTCAGTGCAGGCCTGTGTGGCCCTGGGGCCTTTGCACACACTCTTTTCTCTGACTGAGTTGCTCTTCTCAGATTTTTCTTGTCTCCCAGGGTTTTCCACCATCACTTACCACCTGGAAGGCTGGGCTCAGCACCAGGAAGGCGAAAGGCGTAGTAGATGTAGGCAGCCAGCAGCGGGCAGTGACCACGGGCATCCTGGACTGCCTCCAGGCTCCGGTGGACGAGGCTGACTACATGGGCCATTGCTTCAAAGGCTCCACGGCCCAGGTTCACTGCCGGGCAGAGCAGAGTTCAAGTTCCAGGGCCCAAGGCCTCTTCCCTGCCTACTGACCTTCCAGAGGAAGAGTCATTAGGGTCGAAGGACTTAAGTGGCTATCAAGGGATTTCAGAGGACCTGCTCTGGGTGCCGGAGACTGGGGCCATTTTTCAGATAGGAAAACTGAGGCCAGAGGAAATTAGTTGACTACAGGAGGAACTCAGGATCAGGGCACTGAGGGGGTCGCTCTCTGGATGGGGAAACTGAGGCCCGAGGCCACCCTTGCTCACCCATCTGGCCACTGATGACGGGGGGCCGCACCACAAGGCGCACGAGCTTGTCCAGCACATGGTGGGAGAAGGCCACCAGGGGCTCGGGGCTGGCAAGGCGCAGCGCCGACAGGCTGGCCCGTAGCTCCTGCTCCACGGTGCCCTCGCTCAGCACCGCGTCCTTGAGTCGGAACGGAAAGGCCCCCTCCTCCAGCACGTGCACCAAAGTGAAGAATTTGTCCAGGTGTGGGTCCTGGGTGGGGGACACAAAGGGAGCCGGGCTGCCGGTCCAGGAAAGCCCCGGGGACCAAGGCCACTTCCATCTGAGTCAGCAGCTTCCCTGAGAGCCCGGCCAGCTGATCAAAGTCACGTCCACGGCTCGAGGCCAGGCCTCGCTGGCCAGCGACAACTATTACCCAACTGCATAGCAACCGGGAGGGCAGCAGGGCAGGACTCCTGGGTTCCCACCCCACCCCATACCTGGGGGTGGACAGAGGACGCGGCCATGAGCTCCACGCTGAACACACCCTTGTGGCCGTCCACCCAGCGCATGCCCGGCAGCGCCACCTGCGGGAGGGAGGTGCCTGGTGGGCACTGGAGGACCCTCCCCCACAGATCAGGCCACCAGGCCGCCCCAGCCATTGCGACACCATGGCCTGAGCGTGGCCTAGCCCGAGGGAGCAGACGAGCACCCTGCCCCCAGCCCAGTCCCGGTGGACTAAGAGGGTCCGCCAGGCAGAGAGGACACCACGCACACGAGAGGACAGATACGGGTGAAGGTTAATTGGAGGAAACGATGGGTCAGGAACGCTGTAGGGGGCCTGAGCCCCCGGGTGTTGACGGACAGCTGGACAGGAAGAGGGAGGGCCACGCACACTAACAGGGGTGGAGGGGCAGAGGCAGCCCTGGACGAACTCCTGGGGCGCAATAATCAGCGAAGTGAGGCTGCTATGGGGTCAGTGAGCGCAGAAGTGAGGGCCAGTTAGGGGAGAGAAAGGGACACGCAATGGGAGGGAGGGGAGGACACCCCAGAGGACGAGGCTCCCGGGGGACTGGTGGAAGTCAGGTGGGGTCTCGGGAACGCTCGCCCGTGGGGTTCTGCGAGGACAGAAACGTTGACAGAAGGTGGCCAGGGCATCAGTGGGCGCTACAGGGGACAGCGTCAGGAGGCGGGCAGCCCAGGCGCGTACGTCGGGTGTGAGCACGGAGTAGCTGGGTGGCGGCTGGTCCACGGACACAGGGAGGCAGAAGGGGCCAGTCCTCAGGCGGCCGTGCTGCAGCAGCGGGATCCACTGAGGAGAGAGCAGGGGTCAGGCCTGGGCGCAGCATCAGGAAGGGGACAGGCAGGGCTCCGAGGGCGGCTGGGCTCACAGTGAAGCCCACGGGCGTCTCCAGGGCGGTTCCCGGCCGGGGCTGGCAGCTGACGTGGTAGAAGGTGAAGAGCAGGTGGTGGTTGTCGGTGACGCAGGCCGGAAGGCACAGCTTGAACTCCTCGTAGAACTCAGGGGACCTGGCAGGGCAGGCTGGGGGTCAGCTGGAGGGCTGGGGCCCCACGTCGGGTCCAGCATGGCGGGGTCCTCTCCTTGGCCTTGGCGGCCCCCAGAGGGCTCTGGGCGCTGTACCTCCTTTCCTCCTGGCTCCATGCCTAGGTGTGTCCCTGACCCCAGGAGGACCTCTGCAGGTCCTCCCCTGTCCCTTCTCCCTACCGTCCCTGCCCGGCCCCATCCCCACCTACTTGTTATGGTAGACCACAGGGGTGAAGGCCTCACGTGTGAATTCGCTGCAGCTGGACTTGCCAAAGATGACCTGGGGGAGTGGGGACATGAGGGACCCGCCGGGATGACCCATCCCTGCTGCTCCCCGGGGCGCAGACACTGACCGGCAGGGCCTGGCTGGGGTCCTCGCCAGCCATGTACTGGATTCGCACAGTGAGGTTGCGCACGGAGCCCTGGCGGCTGCTGAAGTTGAGGCTGTGCGGGTACACGTAGAGCAGGTTCCTAGGGCGAGGGCAGGGCTCAGAGGGACACAGTCACAGGGGGAAGGGGGTCACAAGGCTGGGGCACTGAGCTGAGGGCAGGCCGATCCAGCACCAGGCATGAGATACGAATGGCAGAGGCTGGGGAAAGATGGGCACCTTCAGGGCACAGGTGGGAGTCTAGGGAGGCCGAGGAAGCCAGGTGGCCAGCAGTGCAGCCTGATCCCTGCCAGGCTGACCTGCCCGGCCACAGAGGCCCAGACTGACTAGGTTCTTCGGGCCCAGCTGTCCTTTCCCCAGAAGAGACCTGTAGAGTTATGTGGCCTGTCCCTCAGGTGGGAAAACTGTGACCAGAGTTGGAAGGTGGGGCTGGGGTCAGGGTGCTGCCTCCCACCCTGCAACTCTGGATAAGTCCCAACCTACCCGCGGGCCTCAGGTTCCCTATCTGTATAATGGAACATCAGGCCACTCAACCAAAAATTTACAACAGCACCAATGATGACAGGTAACTCCAACAACAATCACTGCACCAAACACTTATGTGGCACCTACTGGATGCCAGGGTTAATTCTGTATTTGCCCAGGACTCAAAATGAAATAATTCACTTACTTCTTACAAGCAGCCAGCAAGGTGGGACACACAGCACCCCCACTTTACAGGTAAGGAAACTGAGGCACTTGCCCCCAGTCATCCAGGGAGTAAAATGGCACTCATGCTGATCTGAGGCATACGTGGGCCCTGGAGTGAATCTATGTGTCCTTGGGAAGGATTCTGCCACATGTTCAAGCTCCCTGGCCACCAACCAGGTCCACAAGGACCCCGGTGTTGGGGTGAGAGTGTGGCCGGGGGCAGAGCGCTGGCTCAGCACGCCCAGAGACCTGGGTTCCCACCTAAGCTGCAAAGCAAAGACCCCGCATTGCAGGCTGGGAAGTGCCAGAGGAGAGCTGGTGCCGCGTGGCCACTGGAACAGCTCTAGGTGAACCCCGTGTCCACACAGTCACCGCTGTCCTGCTGCCCATCAGAGGGAAAGCATAAGCTCAGCGTGAGCCCCAGGGCCCCTCCATGGATGCCTGGGCCAATCCCTCCTAGTGCCCCCAACCCACAACTGGCCCTGAGCCCCAGCCAGCGTGATCTCAGCGTGGCCCGGCCGGACACTCGCCTGATGCAACTATTACGCCCCTGCCAGGCCCTTGCACAACACGGGGCAGCTGGTGGCCAGTTAACGATTGACTGGGGGTTAATGGCAGTGTGGGGACATAAAAGGCAGCGGCAGCAGCACTGTGCCCACAGCCCTGTCCTTCAGCCATGCCTGCACTCACTCTGTGCCTCCTGTGGGCTCTGGCAGCAGTGGCCCAGCCTGCCCCAGTGGCCCCCATGGGTGGCCTGGAGCCGGCACAGCATGAGGAACTGACCCTGCTCTTCCACGGGGCCCTGCAGCTGGGCCAGGCCCTCAACGGCGTGTACAAGACCACGGAGGCCCGACTGACAGAGGCCGGGCAGAGCCTGGGCCTCTATGGCCAAGCACTGGGGCTCTTGGGACTACAAGTCAGCCAGGGCCGGGACGCAGCTCAGGAACTTCGCACAAGCTTGCTGGAGATACAGGTGGGTAGGGCAGCGGGGGTGTTGTGGGGGTGGGTAGGAGTGTATAGGGTGTCCAGTGGCCCCAGTTTTGCCCAGAACTGAAGAGGGTCCCAAGATGCAAGACCTCAGTGATGAAACCTAGCGAGTCCTGGGCAAACACAGAGGAGCTGGCTCCTAACACCCCACTATCTCCCGAACAGCTAGAGGAGGATGATCTGCAGCTGCAGGCAGAGGCCACAGCCCAGGTGCTAACGGAGGTGGCCCAGGCCCAGCGGGTACTGCGGGACAGCGTGCAACGACTGGAAGCCCAGCTGCAGGGTGCCTGGCTAGGCCATGCCCGCCAAGAATTTGAGGCCTTAAAGGTAAGGGGCACTTGGCCCTGGGAGGATTGAGACTCTGACTTCTGGCCAGAACTCCCTTCTGAACCTTGAGTCCTAGATACTTCCCAGCTCTATGACCTCTACTCTGTGACCCTGAGCAAAACCCACATCCCTTTCCATGCCTCGGTTTCCCCATTTGCAAATAGAGCACAGTTGATATTTCAGAGCAATTCAATTCAAGGGCAGGGTACACAGTAGGTACTCAATATGTGCTTATTACTAAGGTATCTGGTAAGTCGTGAGTGCCCAATAAGTATCTAGAACTGTTCGATGCCCTTTAATAGACCACGTGATGCTCATAACTTCACAAAGAAAGTCCCGTCTTAAACTCATCTTACGGATGGGGAAACTGAGGCCAGAGAGCATCACTGACTTGCCCCAGTCAATGTAACAGGGAGGCCTGGGCAGGGTCAGGGGATGAGAGGTGAGGAGGCCCCCACTGAGGTTCTTCCCTACCACACAGGCTCACGCTGACAAGCAGAGCCACTTCCTATGGGCCCTCACGGGACACGTGCAGCGACAGAGGCAGGAGATGGCAGCTCAGCAACACTGGCTGCGGCGGATCCAGGAGAGGTGAGCCTGGTGGGGGCCTGGCACGCAGGGCAGCTGGCTGGGGCACGTGCAGGGAGCCGGAAAGGGCCCCCCACTTGGTGTCCAGTGGCCCCAGTTTGGCTGAGCCAAACTCCCCGTCTCCCTCCCCAGACTCCACACGGCGGCACTTCCAGCCTGAGCCTGCCTGGGCAGAACAGAGGACCAGTCGTGAAGCAAGGGACACTTCTGTGCTCCATGCGGCCCCCAAGCAGAGAGGAGCTGCCTGTCCAGTGGGGCCGGCCAGGGCACGCCGCTTCCAGCCACAGAGCAGAGACAGAAGCAGGCGGGGTGGATGGCGGAGGACATGGCCTCCCTGGGCGGGTGGAGGAAGGACGCGCATCCCTTTGTGCCCACACATCCTGCACTAAAGCAGAGCAGTGGCATGTCACCCTGGGTGTCTGTGTGTGTCTGTGGGAAAGGAGACCTTGCCTGCCAGGACTCCTGAATGTCCCCCATGCCAGGGCCCAGCCACTCCAGGGACGGTACCTGTAGCAGGTGTGGGGAGAGTAGACCTCGCGTGCAGGGAACTCCAGGATCTCCTTAGTGGGCCGGCCCCGGGGGTCTGGGTAGGGCTTGATGTGAAGCAGCTCAGGGGAGAGGCAGAAATGGGGGTTCTCGGGGGCTGGGGAAATGTCGATCTTGAGCTGGGCTGGGGAGGAGGAAGCAGTTTGCACCTGTCTGGGAGCCTCTGGCCAGGGGACCCCCCTGGGGCTACGCAGGTGAGGCCCTGTCTCCCCCGGCTGCCTGCTGGTGGCTCTGATCTTCAGGTGTATAAAGCTCCAAGTCACCCTCAACTCCTCTCTCACCCTCAGAGATGATGTGTCCACCCCCCATGATCCCTACTTGACGCACATTTTTTTCTTTTATCTGTGGCCTCCATTGAAAGTTCAGCCCCTGAGTTGGGGAATTTGTCAATTACGGTCAGAGTTGACTCCCTGGCGCCTGACACAGCAGGTGCTTAGTGCGGGTTCACTGAACCCTCCCTTATTGACAGGGGCACCACGCACCGGTCACAGGCCGCAGACGCCGCAGCAGGGACGATGGACGCCGCATGTCCGCCAGGAATTTAAAGAGGTCCTCATCACTGAGCCGTTCCGCTTCCTGCAAGGGACAGGTCCCCATGAGCCAGGGATAAAGGGCTGAGTCCCCAGGATCCAAGCAACCACAAGGGTGGGGAGAGTCCCCAAGCACCTCTCCTGGCAGTCCCCTGCCTCCCAGTCAGACACCTGCTTAAAAAAGTTGGTGACAGTCAATGTGGCCGGGCGGAAGCCAGAGAAGCTGCAGGTATCATCCCCGCTACTCGCTCGGTCCTGGGGTCCCCGACGGCGGCGGTCAGTCCAGGCGGGTCGGCGCTCTAGGAGACAGTGACAGTGACAGGAGATGAGGGACAAAGAGACGCGGAGACCCAGCTGTAGTGCCGCGCTCGGCCGGCAGAGGGCGCGCCCCTGCCCACCGCTCCGCCCCGGCCCCGCCTCCTCACCGCCCTCCGAGTCCGAGTCGCGGTCCGGCTGCCCCGCGCTGCTCACGATGTTGGCCAAGTGCACCGCCGTCCAGGCGAAGGGCATGCGGTACCGGCCCAGGCGGGTGCAGAACTGCTCGGCTGCCAGGCGCAGCTTCTCCAGCTTCTCTTTGTTCTGAGGGAGACCCCCCGACCCCACCAGCTCAGTGTCCCAGGCCTGCCCAAGTGCGGCATCTGCCCTCCGCCAGGTCCAACTTCCACGCTCGTACCTTGGCCGTGTCCACCTCCTTCATCACCATGTAGGGCTCACAGCATTCACTGATGTCCCCTTGCTGGAGCACCTTCTCCAACTGTGGGGCAGGAAGGCCCCATGAAGAGCGCCCTCTTCATGGGGGGTTCCTGGACCCCCAAACTCTCCATCCCACTGCTGGAGATCAACCCAGGGACATGCTAGGAAATGGCCTTACCACTGACCTACACCCCCAGTTCACCCTGGGGCTTGTGCTCCAAGATCGCCCATGTCTCCTGCTGTCCCTGGTACCAGCACTCTGCCTGCCTAGTGGCCACCTCCTCACCACCCTTCCGACCACCCCAAACTGTAAGTCGCAGCTCACACTTAGCTATGGACATTTTCCTGGCATAACATGTATTAGCATAAACAGGCTGCCGCTCTGAGTCAGGAGGCCTGGACTCCTTCAGTCCTGACCACTCGGGTGTTGGGACCCTGGGCAGGTCTTTAACCTGCTCTGCGCCTTGAGTTTCCACATCTATAAAATGGGGGCACAGCAACTCTCATCTTGGGGGCTACCGTGAAGACTGCACCCCTGTGACACCAGGCCATGAGCAGGGTCTGCTTGTGGGCACTCGACCCATTTCATTATTGTACCTAACTGAAGGTTTGGGGAAGAAACTGACCCCACCTGGAAAGAAAATCCCACATCAATGTACTGACCATGTCTTTCCTGCCCCAATTAACTGAGCAAGTCTTGGCTTAAAAAACACTGTCATCATCATCCACAAACCTCCTAACATCTCACTTGCCTCCCCACTGGGACCCCCCACCCCAGGCTGTTGCATGTGCCTGGGATGTCCTTTGTCCCCAGGCCTATCTGTCCATGGGTCTCAGCTCAGTTGCCACCTCTTCAGGAAGCCCTCTGATTTTCCCCCATCCAGGTTGGGGGGGCTCCTCTTTCTGGTAACATGTCTGCCTCATCCCCTGAGGGCAGGGACTGAACCTGTGGCATTCATCGTTATTACCCCCTTGCCCTGCCCCACCAGGCACCTTGATGACCAGGAAAATGTCGGGTGAGGGATAGGTCACGGAGAAGATGGCGGAGCGGGCCAGGGTGGAGATGGCGGGGTGGGTGCCATGGGCACGAAGCAGCCCCTTCATGGAATCTGAGTTCAGGTCAAAGTAGAAGTTTTCTGAAATCTGGGGACACGAAAGGCAGCTTAGCCACTGTCTCCAGGAAGCCTGCAGCCCCTGAAGCCCAGAAGGAAGAGGAGCAGCAAGAGGAAAAGGGGGCTCCTACCTTCTTCTTCTCCCGCACGTCGTACAGGGCCAAGATCCCGAAGATGGGCTCAATTTCTATCTCGAACCTGTGGGTCAATGGGGACCAAGCTCCCTGACACCCACTCTGTCGAGGCCCAAGGAGAGTGTGGTGGAGGGCACCTGACTCCCGGGGGTCTTTGTGGCTTGTAGGACTAATGTGTCCCATTTTGCAAAAGGGGAAACCGAGGCACTAGAGGTTTGTCCCCCCCTCCTCTCAGCAGGCGACATGTACCCAACCCCACCTGCAACCACGCCTGGCACCCAGGTCACAAGGAGGTGGCTCTTGGTCCTATTAACCCACTTGCAATGCCCTCGGTCCCCATCTCTGGAATGACTGCTGCCGCCTCTGCCACCAGGGTGGAGCCCAGTCCTGGCACACCAAAACCCTCTCCCTGCTACTCCACTTGGTAAAGAAGCATCTTGGAATCTGAACCTCCTCATTGTCCTGAGAACAAAACCCCACGGGGCCCAGCCCTGCCCACCTCCTGGCCTGTCTTCCTGCTCCAGAAGGTGAGGTGCCCACGCACTCCTTGCCCCACTCCTCACATCCTTCCCTCCCTCCCATTTGGCTAGTTCCTGCTCATTGCTGGGCCTTAGCTTAGGTGATTCCTCCCCAGGGAGCAGGGCAGCCCCAGCTGGGCCTGCAGAGCCCCTGGGTATGTCCTCTCCGGGCTCCATGGGTCCTCGTGGGGTTCTGTGTCCTGAACAGCGTAGGCCCTCGGAGGGTGTTTGCTGAATGACTGCGTGAGCCCACAGAGCCTGTTCCAGCCCTGGGATTGAGGTGGGAGGCCCACCCAGGCCTCGGGCCAGAATGGAACCTCCTTTTCCTGTCCCTATCCAGGCAGGAACTGGGGGCGGGGAAGGGCAGGGCCTGGCGGGGGCCCAAGTCCACATCCTGTTCAGCTCTGTTCCCACGCACTCGTCTGCTGCACTTCTGGCTGCTCCCTGGGGTCCCACGTGGAGGGGGCCTTGTGCGGCTGGGAGCCGGGCCCAGGATCCTTAGCACCCCGGTCACCCTGGCTCCCAGCAGCAGGGCAGGCAAGTGCCAGACTTGGGCCCCATGAGTCGTGTGATCTTGGGCACAATTTTGTGAGCGTGTGCCTCAGTCTCCCTATCTGCACCCACTTCACAAGGTTGGGGTGAAACTGATATAGGCGAGGGGCTGAGAGGAGAGCCTGGCACCTAAGGGATGGCAGCTCAATGCCCCGCTGCCCAGGGCCAGTCTTGAGACCCAGGGCCTTGCACATGCGGGGCGAGTGCTTGACGGACCCACACGCCTGGCCCAGGAGCAGCAGTTCCAAATGACAAAGGGAATCTTATTTTCCCCGTGAAAGCTCCTGGTGGCCTCGCAGGCTGCAGGTGCCTGAGTCATGGTGCCACCCGTGTGGCGGGTGACTATACACTAAAACAGCGTGGCTGAGGGGAGGGCAGGTCAGCATACTCACTTGAGCGACAGACACTTGACCAGGATCCTCTGTCCAAAGTGCTCTCGGGGTGGCTCCGGGTGGCTACAGCGTTCTACAGCCTCATCCTGCCAAGAGCCAGGTGGGACCCTGGGATACGTCCTCCAGGAAGGCCCTGGAATGCCTGGCGCGGGACCAGCGCCACCCTCACTCAGCCTCACCAGACTTCCCTCGGTGCCTTGCTTCTGAGCCCCCGCACGTGCTGTTCCCTACCTGGAATGCCCTTCCCTCCTCCTCCTCGTCTGGTAAGGTCTGCTGGCTGCTCAGGGCCAGGCTAGCTGGCACTTCCCCAGGAAGCCTTCCCTGACCCTCGGCCCTAGACAGGCACCTCTTGCAGGTGCTCCCCATGCCCTGCCGCTGCAGGCCCTGGCTGGGGCAGTGTGAGGAACAAGGACGGGTACTGCAGCCTGGCACCACCTGTTCACACTGTGATTTCCCAGTGAAGGGTCTTTCTTCTACTAGACCGAACTCTGAGGACAGGGACTGGGTTTACCCTATTCATGGTAATGTCCCTACCACAGAGCAGACACCCAGACACGTAGGTCCAATAAATACAGAGATACAACAGGTACAACTCAACACTGGATTAACATAGGCATGTATAGAAGACATTTAATAAATGCTGATTGGAAAAAAAAAATATATATATATATATAATTGAACCCTGGGGTGCTCTACACTCTACCCCTGAGTCCCATCCTCAGCTCCTTTCGTTTTTTATTTTGAGACAGGGTCTTGCTAAGTTGCTGAGGCTGGCCTTGAACTTGTGATCCTCCTGCCTCAGCCTCCTGAGTTATTGGGATTAGAGGCGTGTGCCACCAATTCATAATTTTTGACTTGATGTGCAAAAGCACACCTGTATAATCATTCTGCTTTTCACTTTTGGTATGAACTCAATACCTTCCATGAGCTGTTCAGCACTTTATTATAAAATCGGCTCTGTGTTAGATGATTTTGCCCACTGTAGGGTGACACAAGTATTCTGAGCACATGGAATATAGGCGAGGCTAAGCAAGGGCCTTTGGCGGGAAGGTTATTAAATACATTTTCTACTTACTATCTTTTTAACTTATAACAGGTTTATTGGGCTGTAACCCCCACAGTAAGTAGATGAGCATCTGTATACTTTAGGAACCTGATAAATACAGGAGTATACAGTAGGCACTCAATAGCTAAATAAAAATACAGGCATATGCAGTAGGTGCCAAACAAATGTTGGTTGGATAAATACAGGCATGCATGGTAGGTGCTCAATACATATTGGTTGATTATATAAAGAAGTATACAGTAGGCATAAGTAAATATTGGTTGCATAAATGCATACTGGATAAATACAGGATGCCTAGCAGGTGTGCAGTAAATGCTATTGACTCAGGATAGTGCATACAGTAGGCACCCAGTAAGTGTTGGCTGGGTAGTGCCCAGGGATGCAAGGCGGCTGGACAAGCCTGGCCTCGGGCTCAGGGCGAGGCCACGGGCACCCACCTCGTCAGGTGCCGGGTAGAGGGTGAGCAGCGCGCGGGGCCGGTTCTGCCGCCGCTGGGCTTCGTTGCGCCGGTCCACGTCCTCGGGGGCCGCCCGCTCCAGCAGGGAGGGCAGCAGGGAGTCGGCTGCCAGGTTCCTCAGGTCGAAGATGCCAGAGGCACCGCTGCTTCGAGGGGTGTCCTCCGGGGAGCCAGAGCAGCGCCGGGAGTCATCCTGCCAGGAGAACGCACAAGCACTGAGCGCCAGCTGGATGCACTGCTCTGTGTCTAGTCTATACACAGGGAAGCTGGGGAAGAGCAGCCAACGACAGGGTCACCCGGGGCTTTGGACGCTTCAGGAGGGACTTTGTCCAGGGACCCGTCCCTTTTACCGCGTTGGGAAGGCCGCTCCTCCCACACTCTGGCTTCAGAGAACTCGGCCAATCGGGACACACCCACCAGCCCCCGGGATTGGCTCCAAAGTAAGGCCGTGCCGGGGCTGGACCAATGAGAGCCTTTCCTGGGACTCTGCTCACTGCTGCCAGGGGAGGAGACAAGCCCTTCCATCCGCGGTTGTCACCTGCCCTGGGCCCTACTCACACTCCACCTGACCACTCAGGTTCCAGCTCAGCTCTGTGACAGTGAGTCTCTGACCATCACTAAAGGCCTGTTTCCCCATCTACGAATAACAACAATGGACACAGTACCACTGATGCCTGCAGTAACTACCCGTAGTGTGCCAACAGTGTACTGGTATCAAGTAGGTGCTCAGGATCCTCTAGTAACTTTATCATGCCTTAGTCTCTCTACCTGCAAAATGGGTGCAACAATTTCCCTGATACATTAGATAAAAGAGAACAAGTGACTTTAAGTATCCACTAAGCACTCAATGAAAATTGTAATTACCACCCACGACTTTTCACTCATGGGGCAGGTACTTGTGGGCCTGTCTGGAGTTCAGCATTGACAGGGTCATCTCCTGAGACTATACAAATGCTCCTGCAGTGACCCGGGCCAGGGGTGTCCTCACCGAGTCCTCCAGGCCCGATCTCTCGTCCCCAGAGGTGTCCTGCTCGAAGACCTGGCGGCTGAGGCCCTTCTGCCGCTCCCGCTGCGTCTCGGTGGTGATGGGGCTGTACGCGGCACTCAGGTGCTGGTACCTAGCAGGAGGTGGGGCCGGACAGGTGGCAGGGCTCAGGGCTCCTAGGACACTGATATGCTTGGTGAGGGCCACGTGGGGCCTGCAAGGCCAGAGTCCTCCTGGGGCTCTATCTTAGGAGTTCAGTTGCGAGAGAATGGGCAGATAAACAGGAGCACTGGCCACAGACAACGGCTCAGACCCAGACTCTTGATCCTCCACCCACTACTAAACTGTCCCCAAGTCGGACCAACCTTCTGCACACGATGACCCAGTCCTCCGTGTACATCTCCACAGCAGCCCTCGCCTGGGCATCCAGTTTTCTACAGCAAAAGAAATCAGGGTCAACAGAGCCAGGCCAGTGCAGGTCCTTCCCGTGGCCTGGGAGGCTAGGACTGTCCTTCTGCCCATTTCAGAGGTGAAGAGATGGAGGCTCAGAGAGGGAGGATGAGTGGTCCAAGGTCACCCAGCAGAGCCAGGAGTTGGATTTGGGGCTGCTGGAACCTGCAGCCTGCAGGAGAGGGGTGTGGAGGGGTGGCCGAGGGGGTGGAGTGGCAGGCAGGGGGCGTGGGGCAGGACACACCCATCCTCTGGGATCCCCGGCTCCGTGGTCCGGCACTCCCGGGGCTGCCGCTGCAGCTCCAAGTCATCACATGGGAATTCCACCAGCTCCCTGAGGGGCCCGGGCTCAGCGTCTGGCGGCCGGCTTAGGAGCACATCCTCGAAGTCCAGGGGTTCAACAACCTCCGTCAGGGGGACCTGGGTCAGTACAAAGTGGCCATGACCTGGGTCAGGGCAAAGCAGCCGCTTCCCCCTGGGCTGGATGTGGAGGTGGGTTACCACGGGCCTGGGACTGGACTAGGAGGGTGGTGGGAGCCATGGAGGGCGTTGGAGCTACAGAGGGTCCAGAAAACAATGACCTCAGACTTTCCATCCAGCACGGTGGCCCCACCCTTCCCTTCAGGGGCTCCAGGAAGGAAATCACAAGCTGCTGTCTGAGGAGGGAGGGATCCGATGGTGGAAGGAATGGAACACAATTCCTCAGGCCCACAGGCAGGAGGCCCACCCCTTCCCACTGCAGCAGCAGGAAGCCGTGTGGGTGGTCCAGGGGGCAAGGGGACCTCCCAGGGACCACCCACGGGCTCCCAGCTCAGCCAGCCTTCCCAGTGCTACCATTGTCGGAGCCTCGGTTTCCCCCAGGGACAGGGCTGGTGGCCCAGCCATTGGAGGGCAGGGCTGCCCCTACTCACCCCCAGGGAGCTGCCACTGCGCCGGCTGGAGTGCGGGGAGCCGCTGCGCTCCCGGGACACCTGCTTCCGCACCTCAGAGGCCACCGTCCTGGGGGGACAGGAGGAGAGCCTCTGGGGAACAGGGAAACCCAGGCTTCGGGCCAGCCTCATCCTAAGTGAGGAGAACCCAGACCAGGGAAGCTGCGCCCAGGCGCGGGCGCCACACTCGGGCTGCGAGCCCGGGGCAGTCGGCACCCTGCACCCCAAAGTGGATCTCGCACCCCCTCACCACCCACAGTCCCACCAGGACACGTCAACCAGCCTGAAGGACCCACTGGTCCTGCCTCTGCTCCCTCTGCCCTCCCTGGGTTCCCCAAATGCCCAGCCCAGCCCCCTGCGCCCCATCTAGGACCTGCACCTCGTTCCACCGGAGCAACAGGCCTCTCCAATCACTCCTGCCCAAGCCCAGCCAGTCCCCCCGCATAGCTGCTCTGAGCTCACAGGGGGGCTGAGATGGGATGCCACCGTGGGGGCCAGCATGACCCCAGGCCAGAGAAGGGGAAAGGTGGCGGTGTTTTCCCAGTCAGGGGAATGCAGCCCGGAGCCCTCTACCATGGGCCACATCCCAGGGCTTTTCACTTATTATTTTGAGACAGGGTCTCACTAAACATAGCGTTGCCAGGCTGGCCTTGAACTTGCAATCCTCCTGCCTCCGCCTCCTGAGTCGCTGGGATTACAGCAGAGAGAGAACTTTCACACACACCCAGCCCCCAGGTCGGCACGGGGCCTGCCCGTATCTGAGCTGCTCTCTGAATGGCTGAGACTCACAGGGAAGAAGGCCAGTGCAGGAGTTTGGGGGCAGATCCAGTGGGACATGGATCACCCAGGCCCTCCATGCCTTCAGCTGAGCTTGGAAGGACAGGAGAGGGACAGAGAGCCATGGGGTTACCTGGGGGACACTGTGTAGGGCAAGGGAACCGCAGGTACAGAGGCCCTTGGCTGCACTCTGCACTCTGAGCATGGCGACCCTGTTCCCAGGGCTCAGCAAAGGCAGGAGCTCGGGCTCCGCGCTTCTCACAGATGCTCCAGCTTCAGGGCCCCCACATACTAGGTGCTCAATAAAGTCTTCCCGATGGAATGGGCCAAACCCTCACACTTGCCAAAATCTGCTGACTTGGGAAAAACAATAGATCCTTTTAACTATGTGACTTCGGGCAGGTGGTCACCTCCCCTGGGACCTGTCTTTCTCACTTACTTTTGTGCATGTGGACCTGTGTGGCTCGTGACGGGACTCAGTCCTCACACCTGTGCTCCTCTACCCCTGAGCCACCCCCAGCCTCTGTCCCTCTTAAAAATCAAGAGGCCAAAACAAGAGTGTTCGGATTCCATTCCTTTCGCTTCCCACTTTTTGTGACCCTTGGGAAATTCCCATAATGAAAAATTGTGCCCTACGTGGGTGTGGTCGCAGACACCCGTAATCCCAGCAACTCAGGAGGGTGACTGAGGCAGGACACCACAAGTTCAAGGCCAGCCCCACACCTTAGTGAGGCCCTAAGCAACTTAGCAAGACCCCGCCTCAAAACAAAAAAATAAGAAGGGCTGGGGCTGGGGCTCAGTGGTTGAATGTCCCTGGGTTCAATTTCCCACACCAAAAAAACTGTGCCCCCCAAATGCACTGGTGACAACCACACACCCCATGACCCACAGCCCACCGATGAGATGACAGCGTGCGGCGGACCTGGTAAGACCCTCAAGGCAGGGTGGGCATGTGGGAGACTGAGGCCACCTGGGACCTCAGCCCTATGTGGCGGCCTCTGAATTCAAACCCGTGTGGATGAAACAGAACCTGGCCAGGACCCGGCGTGGGGGCGCTCCGGCCAGACAGCCCAGCCTCAATCTTGGGTCTCCATGTTCTGCCCACTGTTTCTGTCAGCAGCCCCAGAACTTGGCTTCTGCCGGCTGCAGGGTGAAAGAGCTTCTCAGAAATGCAAAGTGTTAAAAATCAGGGCTTGTGCAGCTCGGCCAGCATGTGCGAGGCCCGGGGTTTCATCATGGCACAGCAAAAAAAAAAAAAAAGAGCTTTGTGCTCACAGTCGGGCAGCCTCCTCTGAACCCTGGGCACGCAGGGCCTGGGGGAGATTTATTAAAGATGCCAGCCAGGGCACAAGGCTGTGCTCAAGTCCCAGCTGTTCTGCAGCTGTTACCCCAGAGGGGACGGAGGAGGGACGGACGACCTCCGGCCTCACTTCCCACTGGCCCTGGGTCTCCGGCCCGGGGGTCAGCGGGCTCTGCTGCTGCACTCTGCGCGTGGCGCTGGTCAAGCATGGACGAGCGCTGAGATTTGGATCTGGGGTGAGTGTGTGCCCCAGGGCTCACGTGTTGAAATTTAATCCCCACTGTGAGGCGCTGAGAGGGCAGAAAGACTGTTCAGCATGGTGGGCACACCTCCGATCCCAGTGACTTGGGAGGCTGGGGCAGGAGGATCACAGGTACAAGGCCAGCCTCAACAATGTGGCAAGACCCTGTCTCTAAATATAAACAAGAAAAAGGGCTGGGGATGGAGCTCAGTGGTAAAACAATCTCTGGGTTCAATTCCCATTAAATAAATAAATACATTCAAAATTAATCCAACTGTGGTGTTTAGAGGTGGTGCCTTTGGGTGGTGATTAGAATTAGGTGAGGTCAACATGTCAAAAGTTGGTGTGAGTTAAATAAACCTCTTTTCTTGATAAAGGTACCTGACCTCAGATACTTTGTTAAGGTACATGAAACAGACTAATACAATAAGTAACTTCTCCTCCTGGCCTCTGGGTTCAGGACAGTGCCTACCTTATTAAGCTGTTCTAAGTACAGAGCATGGCACATAATAAGTGCCCAATGAAGGCTTGCTGTCACTATGTGGTGCTCAAACACAATCCTCGGAAAATGAGTTTTCTGGCTGTTTTCCCCGCAACCCAGTATTAGGGATTGAATCCAGGGCCTCGGGCATGCTAGGCACTTGCTCTACCACTGAGCATAGCCTTAGCTCTTGTTTATTCTTTCATTTTGAGACAGTCTTGCTAAGTTGCCCAGGGTGGCCTCAAACCTGTGATACTCCTGCCTCAGCCTCCCCGTCACTGGGATTACGATGTGCACCACCCAGACCTGTTTCTACATCAAAGTCAAGTGAGACTCAGAAGGGGCTTGTGACCCACCCAAGGCCACACAGCCAAACTTGGAAGTGTCCAGAATAGCACTCTGCGGTGTGTGGGGGGGAGCAGGGCCAGGGACGGGGGCTCCAGCACCCAGCTTCTGTCTCCGCACCCTCCATCCGCACCCTCCAAGACCCAACAGCATCTAAATGAGCGGTGGATCCAGATCCTTGGGTCTGTCCCTCAGGACCACACGTCCCTTTCATGCCACGTGGGGTTCTTGGAGGCAGACGGCATGTGCTGCGGCCACACCACACCCTCTAATGACAGCTGACCTCGCCCGGGGTCCACACCTAAGAAATGTCCCTAATTCCTCCTTTTCTCACCCCCACATCAAACCGGGTTCAGATGCCCCCAACAAGGCAGATTTAAAAATAGGAAGCAAAATATTAAGCTGAATTTGGTGGGTTTTCCCAGGAGACAACCTGGGGAAACTGAAATGGGAGACAGGGTAACAACTATGGACCGCATCCCCCGGGAGGCCAGATCAACCAAGGTCTACCCTCAGAGGGAAGGAGCATACTAAAGCCAAAAACAAGAACAACAGAAGCCTCAGGCACTGTGTGTTCCCACCAGTGCAAAAAGCAAGGGAAGAAAACAAATCCAAATAAAATCATATAAACCCGCCATCGACAGGAAATTCTGAAGACAACAGGAGCATCAGCGAGGAGATGAACAGAACTCTCATCCACTCTGATGCTGAGTACGGCGACACATCTGGAACGATCATCTGGAACGATCAAAATGCACCATCGACAAGCACGACCGAAGATTCCCGGATCCGGTCGAGCACGGTAGCACACACCTGTGACCCATCTACTTAGAAGGCTGAGGCATGAGGATGGCAAGTTCGAGGTCACCCTGGGCAACTCAGCCAGACCCTGTTTCAAAATAAAATGAAAAGGGCTGGGGACGCAGCTCGGTGGTAGAGTTCCCCTCCATTCAATCCCCAGTACTGCAAAACTTAAAAGTAAAAAAAAAAAAAAAAAAAAAGACACCCGAATCCAGCAATTCCATTCCAAGGCGGAAATACTCAAGAGGAAACACATGGCCAGGAATGTTCACAGCAGTCCTGATCACAAGAGTCCCAAAGGGAAACAACCCACATGTTCACTGATCAGACACAGGGAGAACACAAACAGCAAACAGTACAGACGGGAATAGTATACAGCAATGAAAAAGAACAGCAATGAGCCTTCCAAAATGAGCACACTGCATGAAAACTGTGCCCAGATTCAACAACCCAGTGTTTGTTCACATGACGTTCTCAAACAGGCAAAACTAAGCCACGGCCGACAGGGTGCCAACTGGGATGGAGGAACCATAATGCCAGTCGCAGGAGCCATAGGCATAAGGGTTGCTGTGGGGCTGTTGGGCCCATGTCAGGAGGGGCTGCTAGAGTTGGAGGGTCCCCATCTTTGACCCACGGAGCCTTTCTCCTGATGTTTGCTTTATAATTACTTTAAAAACTTTGTCCTTTTCTGTATGGATGTCAAATGTCGCTATTTTTAAAAAGGTCAAATAATAATAGTAATGATATAGTCAAGTGCTGAATATTGACCTTAGAATGACAGATTGCATGTACGAGGGTGGGCCCGTAAGATTACGACGTGGCTGAGTTGCTTAGCGCCCCAATATTGCCAAGGCTAGCTTTGAACCCGAGATCCGCCTGCCTCAGCTTCCCGAGCCACTGGGATTACAGGTGTGCACCACGGCGCCCAGCCTGGGTTTGTACTATGCCTTCTCTGTGTTCAGATACGCAAACACCCTGGTCTACGGTACTCAGGACAGTTAATGCGACACAGGTTTGGAGCTTCCAGCAGTAGGTGATGCTAGGCAGCCCAGGTGGGCAGCAGGCTGCACCACTTAGACCTGTGTAAAAGTCCTCTGTGATAACTTTTCAGTAGTGTGTGATACAAGCCTTTTTAATTTTTTTTTCCTTCTTCCCTTCTTTTCTTTTTCTCCCTGTCGTACTGGGGATGGAACCCAGGGTCTTACATATGCAAGGCAAGGGCTCTACAAGCAAGTTACATCCCCAGCCCCTATATAAAAAATTTTTATTTTGAGTCAGTGTCTTGCTAAATTGTCCAAGCTGGCCTCAAATTTGCAATCCTCCTGCCTCAGCCCCCCAGTAGCTGGGATTACAGGCGTGTGCCACTGAATCATTATTTCTTTAAACAAAGAAATGTAAACTGTACATATAAGACAACACAATCCCAGAAAGAATATGCTACAGTCAGAGACTCCGGTGAAGAGTTCAGCAAGCATGCTCTAGGACATATGGAGACAGGAAGGGGTGTGGCTTCCAAGATTCTCCTGGGCTTCAGGGCCACAAAGTCCAGACCTTTCACTTTGAGCTTCGGTTTCAACAGTCACATCTGAGCTCACAAGCTACAGTGACAATTTAACAAGGGATATCCCAAAAGGAGACCAAGTGCATAACAAGCATTAAAGTTTATCTGCATTGTATACTGTATTTGACTTAAAGTATCTGTTCATGCACACGTGTAATCTCAGCTAATAGGGAGGCTGAGGCAGAAGGATCGCAAGTTCGAGGCCAACCTGGGCAACTTAGCAAGACCCTGTCTCAAAATAAAATCTTTAAAAGGGGCTGGGTGTGGCTTAGTGGTACAGCACTTGTCTGGCAGGCAGAAGGCCCTGAGTTCAATCCACAGGATGGGGGGAAACAAAGGAAAAGAAAGAATCTGCTCGTTGGGAAAGTGGAGAACTACCTAATATTTGGGTTAATCTGGTATTTTTGAACAACTGAATGAATGGATGAACGCAGGTCCAGGTCCAGCCTAGACACCTGGGTGCCCACTAGCCTGCTCTAGAAGCTGTGGGCCACTGGCTGACAGTTCAGGAAGGCCTCAGGATCTTTCTCTGTTCTTACCCTGGGTTCTCCAGCATCATTCCCAGGACAGGAACCAAGACCCCTCTTTCTCACTCAACTGAAGCTAGGACTCAAGGACATAGGGACTGAGTCGTAAAGGGACCAGTCAATGAATATTATCTCCAGGCTTGGAGAAACCAAGAGTCCAAACAGAAACAATTCAGAAACAAATAATGGCAGATCATAAAAATTGCCCAACCATAATGCCCCAGATACCAGGTTACATCCCTCCTCTGTTCAAAACCCTGCCTGGCTTCTATACACTGGAGGTAAAGTCAAAGTCCTCTCCACAGAAATGTTCTGAAAGATCTACTGCTACTGTCCCCCTTGGCTTGGGCCTTTGCACTTGCCACTTCTCTTGTCCTACACCTGGGCCTGAACCGCCCTGGCCTCCAGGTCTTTGTTGAAATGCACCTGCTGATCCACACCTTCTCAGCACAAGAGAACTAAACAGCCTCCAACCTCCCCATCCCCTTCCCTGTCAAGTAGGTCCTCCGTAGCACAGGGGCACTCCCACAGCCACCTTATCATGCTTTTCATCTGTCTCCCCCGCTGTATCTACCCCCAAGAGCAGGGTCTTTTCTTATGTTTCCATCAGGGCGGGACCTCAGGATAGCTCTTTGACCTGAGAAGGTCAGGGCAGGTCCCCCATGGACAGGATACTTGAGCAGATTCTGAACCCACCCTAGCAGCAAAGACCCCAGTTGTCAGCCCCAGAGAAGCTGACATCCCCCACTCAGGCTGAATCTCTCACAATCCCCGGTGGCCACGGAAATGGATCCCCCAGCGCCTGGCGCCTGTCCCCTCCCCCGTCTGCCCACCAGCTGGTTCTGTCCCCAGCCCCCACTCTGTCCATTCAATCGCCCATCATCCATCCCCAGCGCGTCCAGCCCGTGCTGGGAGAGCCTGAAGCAGGAGGTGGGGGGCTGTCCACAGCTGTCCCCTGCTCCCCGCTCCTCCCCAGACAGCTGGGCACTGGACCCTGGGGCGGGGGGAGGGCTCGGGAAACTTCCCGAGGGGTTCCAAAAGCCGCCAGAGCACCATCCCTGTTCCGTGCCGCAAGCCAGTCACCCAGCATAGGACAAAAAGTCCCTCCACCCCAACCCAGCGGGCGCGAGGAGGACGAGGGACCAGCAGAGTCGGAGCCCGCGCCAGCGCGCAGGATAGGCGCCGCCGCCTCCAGGGAGCCCCCCGGACACGCCCCCGAGCGTCCTCCGGCTCCGGGGAGCGAGACCTCCGCCGCCGCCGCGCTGCCAGCCAAGGCACCACGCCCAGCCGCGCTCCGCGCCTCCTGGGGTCCCCAGCCGGCAGGAGGAAGCGCTCGGGGGTCCCTGGCGAGCGGAAGGGGCTGAGCGCGGCGCGCCGGTGGGGAGGGGCGGGTCGCCGGGGCGGGGCCAGCAGGGCCACCGGGTCCCCGCCGCGCTACCTGTTGATCTTGTGCGCGAAGGCGCGGCGCTCGGCGGCCGCCATGGCGCCCGGTCCTCCGCCGCCGCGCGCTCGGCCCCGCGCTCCGCGGCAGCCGCAGGTTCTGGGCGGCCGGGCGGGGCGGGGCGGGGCGGGGCGGGGCGGGCGCAGGAACGGGGCGGGGCCAGGTCTGGGGGCGTGGTCAGGGATGGGCGGGCCGGGGCCGGGGTCCTTCCGGGTGGCCTCGCCTAGCGCTCAGCCTCTGCCGTCCGGGGGCGCCTCCGGGGCGCCCTGGGGCTGCGGGGAAACCGAGGATCGGAGTGCGGCCGGGGAGTGAGGCTCGAGGGCGGAGGCCCAGCGTGTCCCGACGCCCGTCCCGGGACGTCCTCTCCGCGCTCCGACTCCCGCCCGAAACAATATGAAGTTCACGCGAATAACTGCCCTACGCGTACCCACGGACAGCGTTGCGCGCGGTCTGCGGCGCACGCACGTGGGACCACTGGCTTCCCGCCTCGTACAGCCGCGTCAACTGAGGCTCGGGTGTTCGACGCTGGCTCAGAAGGACGCCCAGCTGTCTCCAGGGACGTCCTGGGGTGTGCCCCGCCCGCAGGCGGGAGTTGGGGTGAAGAGGTGGAGGGGTCTTGCTGGGCTCTGGGGTACCGGAGACGTGACGCCGGGATCTGGCAGTGAGATCTGAGATTCAGTCCGGAAGCCTCGGTTCACCGGAAGGAAGCTGTGGGGATATCTTGGTTAATTTGTGGTCCCAAAACTCTCCCCTTTGGCCCCTCTCCTAGCCGCGCTAGGAGTTTAGAAGAGTCTCCAGCCCTCGCTCATCTGTGGATGTGCCAGCCCTTTCCCACTCCGTGCCTTTGCATGGGCAAGTCATCCAGTCCTCCTGAACAGCCCTTCCAGCCGTGGTTGCAGAACGTCCCATGGAGGACTGTGTGTGATGGAACTTATCTATAACATTACACACACACAAAAAAAAAACAAAAAAAAAAACTTGTATGTATTTTTGTGCGTTGGTGGGTGGTGCTAGAGATTGAACCCAGGGTCTCCCACATGCTACTAAAGTGCTCTATCACCGAGCTACACCCCTGCCCTCCTAGGGAGAATTTAAAATTGAATAATAATAGGAAATGTTCTGGCTCAGGCCTTCGCAGGTATTACTGTCTTCCCCACCACGTATGGGTGCTGGCATTATCTCCCACCCACAGATGAGGAAATGGGACCCAGAGAGACACAGGGACTTGCTCCAATTGCCCAGTGAATCAGTATCACTGTCTGAGGAGCCAGTCCCACAGGAAGAGGCCTGCATGGCGGAGGGTCCACTTAACCCTGCCATTTTGGCCCTGGATTCTGTCCTGGAGGGTGAGGCCACATCAGGGCTTCTCCCAGGTTGACACCTGACTGTTACCAGGTTGGTACCTGTGATGTACACACAGGTGGCAGCAGCCCACGCACCTGCCCAGAGTAGTCCAGCCACTTTGGCCTGGGAGACGTCGCTCCACCCACAACTCCCTGCTGGGCCTCACCCAGCCTGCCAAGCTGCAGCCCCTGCCTCACCTCTCAGACTGCTGGAGCCAGGCTGGGTAGGAAACAGATTTACAGCCTTCTCTTCTCCCCTCGGCCTAGTTCCAGTGACCCCCTTGTATCTGGTCTCCCCCCTCCCTCTAATGGCTCCCCCCACCCAGTTGGTTCCCCCTTCACTGCTCAGAAGGAGCCTGGGAACACATAGGTGATGTCATGTCCCTCTTCTGTGCAGAACCCTCCATCTCTCCCACCTCACTTGAGATAGAATCCCAAGTCCTCGACAGCCTCAAGGCCCGGCATGATCTGTCTTCATCACCTCCCTACCCTAATCTCCCTCTTTCTCCTTCAATCACTCCACTCCAGCTGCCCTCTCTTGGCTATTCCTTTGGACCCCGGAACACAGCTCCAGGGACTTTCCACACGCCGACCCCTTTCCCACAAGTGCTGCATGATCTGTAATGCCAGCAGATGAGGGAAACCCAGAGAAGGGACCTGCCCTGTATGCCTATGAATCCATGTCAGATCCATGATTTGGACCCAGGTAGCGTGTCCCCAGTTGTTTTTAGACTAGCTAAGTTCCAGACCTGGCTGTGTGACCTAGGGTAAATTTTTCAACCTCTCTGAGCTTCAGTTTTCTCATCTGCTCCATGAAGGCTCCAGGTAGGTCACAGCATGAGGAACAGGCAGCAGGAGGTGGATGGGGCCCTGGACCATCAATTCCCTAAAAGCCAGTGGGGGCCGTGAGCCCAGGACACCAAAGCACTGTGTTGGTGGACAAGTGGTTTCAAAGATGCCTCTAAGCAGAGCACCTAAGCTGCCTGGAGCTTGGCACCTGCCCTGGTTGGTGCCTGCCAGACCTGATTGTTGAGGCTGTTCTCCAGGGCGCAGCCAGGCCTGACTCAGACAGGCGGGGCTGGGGGTGACCCTAGCAGCTGCTCAAACAGGGTACTTTGGCCTCCTCTGGCTGCCATCGCAGAAGACACATTGTGGGGGTGTGAGCAGGGTGAGTGACGAGTCTGGAGAGCAGCGGGGCTGAGGGGGTGGCAGGTGCTGGGTGGGACTCAGCAGCCTGGCTGGCGAATCCCATCTCTGTGAGTGAGGAGTGTTGAGGACGTCTCCCTTCAGCCACACCACACCCCACTGCTGTTCCCTGTGCCTGGAACACTGTTCCACCCACTCCTCATTTGCTTGATCCCTTTTTCATCCCTGGATCTCAGCTTGGACACTGTTGTCCCCCACAGCTGCCTGTGGTCCTGACTCAAACCTCCATCCTACTGAGTCCCAGTTGCTGAATTTTTCATCTCCTCGGGGTCTCCTGCACCTGGCATGTAGCTGGTGCTCTCTTAATATCTATTTCTGGTGTCTCTTATTTTCCTGATCCGCTACTCAGTGCTGCATCCGGGGCTTGCCATTTGAAGCATTGTAGCATTGGAACGGGCTTTTGCATTTTTCTGTTCTGTGCAGTCTCTCTGGACCTATGCATTGGTTGTACCTTGAAATGCTGTGTCCCCCTACTTTTTGTTTTTTGGTACTGGAGTTTGAACCCAGGGGTGCTCTATCATTGAGCTACATCTCCAGTCTTTTTTAATTTTTATTTTGAGGTAGGGTCTCAACAAATTGCTGAGGCTTTCCTCAAACTTGTGATCCTCCTACCTTGGCCTCCCAAGCTGCTGGATCACAGCTGTGTGCCACTGGCTCTGGCTTCCCCGACTCCTTACATTTCTAAACACCTCTCATTCCTCAGGTCTCTGCCTTTTGGAAGCCTTCCTTGACCACCTCCCTCCACTGTTAAAACTGGGGTCAGGGGCTCCCCTCCCTCCAGCCTCTGGTTTCTCCCCTGATAGTCCTGATCACACTTGGCTATAACTGCCTGTCACTGGTCCCATTACATCTGTCCCTGCACTTGAACGTGAACTCCATGAAGGCAAGGATTTCTCTGCCTTATTCACTGTTATGTCTCCAGCACCCAGCACAGGCCTGCGCATACTGTAGGTGCTCAATAAAAGGATGAATGAGGCTGAATGCCCTCCTGTCCCCCGTGCCAACTATCACTACCATTAGTTTGGAGGGATCGATTTCTGCTGGAGACGAGGCTCCTGGGCCTCCCAGACTGAGGGGTGCTGGGGGCTACATGTAGATGCCCACTGCCCCCTGGTGCCCTTGGCAGGACTTGCCCTGTTAGGTTCACAGGCAGGGAGCTCTGGTGCCTCCACATGCCCCAAGAAGGTAGTAAACAGGTGAGCCTGGGTGCGGGGTGGCATGCAGGGGACACCCATCCATCAAGCCCTCAGTGAACACCTGCCACTCACAGGCTCCCACGAGCCCCAGGAGGTCATCTGCCTACAGGTGCGGGACACTGGGCTGAGAGAGCAGATCACACACTGGAGTCACAGGATGCATCCGTGCCTGTCGCTTTCTGGGACATCTCCCCCCTGGTTCTTCAGATGCACGTTAGCAGTTCAGTGAATCACTGGACAGAGGGATGGATGGATGGATGGATGGTTGAATGAGTGTGTTTTGGAGTAGGAACAATCATAAGTAGGACTTAAGAGTCCAGAGATTCTTGGATTGGGGTCCTGCCTTAGTCACAGCCAGACTGCATGACCCGGGGCCTCCCTGGGCTTCAGTCTCCTCATCTGTGAAATGGGTGTGGCAGTCTCTGCACTGAACCTCCATGGCTGTGACTGCTGTAGGTGATGTATGGCCAGGACAGCCCCAAACACTGGGGGACACTGCCCTGTCGGATTGTTTTTCCTGCTGCTTCCGGAGCTGGGAAAGGAAGCTGGAAGCCATCTCAGGGTGTCCAGGCCTGCCTTTGGGATTTGAAGTCACAAAGAGAGGCCAGCAGGGCAGGCCGCAGGCTTCCTGTTTTCTTTGAACAGATGGCCCAGTCACCTAACACTTGTCTGTCTGGATGCTTGTGCATTGTCCCTGGAACTCATTTCTTTTGGAAACTATAGATTTGTTTATTTTTTTTTTAATCAGCGCATCATAATTATGTATGTATGCATGATATTCATGACACTTCCATTCCCATCCACCACGGGTAGCACTCAGATCAGGGCACTCAACATTCCCGTCGCCTTCGACATTTACCATTTCTCTGTGTGCCAACCTCAGACTCCTTCCTCCCAGATCTTTAGAAAACACATGATAAGTTGTAGACTCGAGTCCTGCTCCTGTGCTGTGGACCACTAGGCCTTATCCCTGCTGTGCAACTGCATTCGGTGTCTGCCATCCCACCCTCCGTGTCCCAGCCTCCAGCACACCCTATTCTGCTCTCCACTGCTGTAAGATCGATTTTCAGTCTCCATATGTGAGCAAGAAAATGCAGAATTTGTCCTTCTGTGCCTGGCTTATGCTACTTGACATAGCATCTTCCAGTTCCATCCATGTGGTCACAAATGCCAGGATTTCCTTCTCTTTTATGGCTGAGTAATATCGCATTGTGCACGCAGATCCCTTTCCACTTTCATTGAGCCTGCTCATTCTCCAGGTATTCGCATCCAGCCTGACGTCCGGGACCCCTGACACCCAAAGGT